AATTCCACAAATTTAACAAGATCCAGAAGCTTTTATTGATTTTTGGCTAATGTATGCAGCAAAGTAGAAAATAAAAAATATGTCACTTGGCTTCATTTTTAAGGGTACAGCAGTGAATAAATCCATGTTTAGAGAGGGAGGAAACACTGATATATGCCGCCAGCCAATGCTGCTGAAGCCAAATATGTCTGCTCTGCAGGCTCAGTTTCAATGTTACCAGACATCATTTGGTGATCCTACTTCATGTGGAAAACCTTGTTTATCACTGGTGACATATTATAGGTTATGTAGGCAGTATGGAAGATATAGATGGTTTCCATTTTGCACTTGAACCAATGGAGTTCAAGTATAGGCTAACAAATTAATGTCTTCAGAAAGTGGCCATGTTCACTTTCTCTCTCTTTTTTTTTTTGTCTGGGGAAGCCTGCTTGGGATGAATTTTGAAACATAGGGAGATGGGTTGATGGATGACATTGACAGGCCGTGGCAGTGTATGAAAATGTCAATAAGCAGCATGTGAAAGTTTCACTTAAGTTAGACTTTTGATCGATCAAATAAGAATAACTGCTACAACCATGCTAGCAGCTTTGTGAGGCTGTAATTAGGCACAGCTGTGATTTGAGCTAAATGTTAACATCACAGTGCTAACATGCTCACAGTGACAATGGTAACAGGCTCTTAGTTTAGCATAAACATGATGTGGATTTCATCAGCCTCTAAAATTTGTACAGATTGCTTTAAACAGTTTAGAGAGATAGACACCGCAAACTCGGATTGGAGATGATTCTGGGTGAAATTTGGTTGATTTAAGGAAGTAATGGGTCAGTTATGGCTATGGCAAGGAGGCTTTGGTCCAAAAATGCCTCATCTCTAACTAACTGCATGCAAGATATTGTATGTGCAGCATTTTGATACTGGGCCAAGAGCAACACACCACTTGTAATCTGCTTTAGAGTTGGGGTCTTGAAAAGGCTACAGTGTGGCTGGGATCTGGCCCAGTTCTGCACAATATCAAGGTTAAGTTGGTGTCCTTGCAACCAGTTAGCAGCAATAGCCTCATCACTGTTATTGCATTGCAGAATGTGGGTCAAATGTAAGTATTAATGTGGGTCAGTACTGAACTTCACTAATTTGCTTTCTGGGTGTCTGGTTGGTTTTAACACAAAGTCTGTGACTATGACAGATGTCAGCTGTCCTGTATGAATGCCACCTTAATTCAGCAACAGCCGGCTTCGCACTCAGTTACAAATCTTCGCACTTGGCAAATACTCCCGGCTTGTTTATGATTCAAATTGGCAATCTTCCAGTCACATGCCTTGTTCTGTAAATGCTGCCAAGGTGAAAAGTAAGACCATCTTCAGGTTCAAGTTAGGGCAAGCATCTTGCCATTCTGAAAATATGTACCAGTCACAGGGACAGTGTTTCACAGCTAATGTCTCTCTGAAGGAAGGCACGCAAATGGCCCTTACATGGAAATTTTAAATTTTAAAGTCTAATTGTTTCTAGAGTGCAAATAATATCTCCATATTGTAATCTACAAATGTGAGTGGGAGTTCATGACTGCAATACTTCTGTTATAAAAACCACAGTCCTTGGCTAAACACTCATCAAAATGCAATTTGAATACCTAAAACGAAAGCATGTGGTGAATATGACTTCTACAGAAATGTGTTCACCTTTTAAGCTTTCTAAGTGCTTGGTTTTATAAATCAAACACACCTCATGCAGTTAACGGTGTTAGGAAAATTCATGTAATGCATTTCTTCTGTCCCTCTGTCAGTCTCTTGCATTCAGCCTGTTGATACTACCATGGGGGAGGGGTGCAGTGTTTATTCAGCTCCATTAGCATGGCTTTCCAGTTGCCATCTAATTACTCTGTACTCAGAATGCCTCAGACCGATGTGGGGGGTAGCAGTGGGCTCAATTGGATGCAATGTCACGAAACACATCAGGGATACTCCCGACTTGTTAAAGCCTGCAGATCAATTCAAACCCTTTTCTGCCACTCTGTAGTTCCCTCTCTGTCTATTTCAACTCCTCTGTCGTCCTTCTTGTCTGTATCTTCTCTCCTCTCTTTTGTTTATCGCCTCATGTCTGAACTCTCTCCTCTCGTCTCTCTTCGTCTCAGCTATCCAAGTCTATGCCTGCCTTGTTTTACCGTTGTCCTAGGATACATCAGATTTCAGACTACAGTGGGGAGAAGTATTTGATACACTGCTGATTTTGCATACAAAGCATGTAGACGTCTGTAATTTTTTATCAAAGGTACACTTCAACTGTGAGAGACGGAATCTAAAACAAAAATCTAGAAAATCACATTGGATGATTTTTAAATAATTAATTTGCATTTTATTGCATGACATAAGTATTTGATCACCTACCAACCAGTAAGAATTCCGGCTCTCACAGACCTGTTAGTTCTTCTTTAAGAAGCCCTCCTGTTCTCCACTCGTTACCTGCATTAACTGCACCTGTTTGAACTCGTTACCTGTGAGGAGATCAGGCCAGAACTACACGGCAGGACCTGGTCAATGACCTGAAGAGAGCTGGGACCACAGTCTCAAAGAAAACCATTAGTAACACACTACGCTGTCATGGCCAACAACCTCCTTCCCTCAGTAAGAGCATTGAAGATGGGTCGTGGCTGGGTCTTCCAGCATGACAACGACCCGAAACACACAGCCAGGGCAACTTAAAAGTGGCTTCATAAGAAGCATCTCAAGGTCCTGGAGTGGCCTAGCCAGTCACCAGACCTGAACCCAATAGAAAATCTTTGGAGGGAGCTGAAAGTCCGTATTGCCCAGCGACAGCCCCGAAACCTGAAGGATCTGGAGAAGGTCTGTATAGAGGAGTGGGCCAAAATCCCTGCTGCAGTGTGTGCAAACCTGGTCAAGAACTACAGGAAACGTATGATCTCAGTAATTGCAAACAAAGGTTTCTGTACCAAATATTAAGTTCTGCTTTTCTGATGTATCAAATACTTATGTCATGCAATAAAATGCAAATTAATTATTTAAAAATCATACAATGTGATTTTCTGGATTTTTGTTTTAGATTCCGTCTCTCACAGTTGAATTGTACCTATGATAAAAATTACAGACCTTCACATGCTTTTGTAAGTAGGAAAACCTGCAAATTCAGCAGTGTATCAGATACTTGTTCTCCCCACTGTAAAAGTAAGACTTAAGATCTTTTTAATGCTACCTGGATTTGGATTTAAGACCAGCTTTGAAGCCAATTAAAATATCAAAGATGATAAAATGAGCTTTGCTATTTTAATTGGCTAAACAGCAAATAGCTAAATCTGTAAATTGACATAAAGAAATAGTGATAAGAAATTGAAGCTGGAGTAAGCATTTTATTTCAGAATAAGTTTTACATTTGTTGAAATTATCTTTGCATCCCAATAACAAAATAAAAAAACAGCACATGTGGCTGTTGCATGACTGTAATAAGCTAATAAGCACAGCCAATAATTTTATTCGGTCCAAATAAAGTGATAATTTGGCCGAGGTGAATGTTGGAAAGTTGACGCAGTTGACGATAGATGGATGGATGGTGCAACACAGGCACAATTTAGCGGGTCAAAGTTCACCAAAGTTGAACTTGATGCAATATATTGGCGCAAAATATTTGTGCTTGTGACCATGTCCATGAATTTGCCATACAAATTGCACCAATTTAAATTAAACCTCCAATGGATACATTAAAGATAAAGGCTAATCTTACACTTAACATTTGTAGGTTGGTTTTGTTGATGGGTGGTATATTTTTCCTATTATTGTAACTGATTATCCAAATTAAAAGTATGTCAATATGTTGAAATATTTGCAGTCCAGGTGTATTCGAAGTTGGCTCCAGAAATTTGTCAACTTAAAAAATATATAGAAACAAACTTTGATATCAGTCCCTTCGAATCAAAAAACAAGAACTACTTTCTCGACATGTTTAGTAGAAAGAAATCCACCAAAGAACTCACAGACAAACCAATTTCTCCACTGATGGTTGCCTCAATGAAACAGCAGGCAATGCTCTAGCAAAATAAATCTGTTTTCAATAATTGGTTGATTTTCTGCTTGATAAGTAAAATCTTTCAATTCCAATATGTCCATTACTGTCTCTCTACACATACTGCCAAAAGATGGAATGGCATTTAGGGGAAATTTACTAAATCACACCCTGCAGCACAAGATGACACATTTAAGAAGAGTGGACATAACAAAAAAGTAAATTGCAACACTTGACATCACAAAATAATGGAATTCACTGACATTTACAGATTGATTGATTGTGTGTCAGAGGTTGCGTTTTTTCTTTAAGAAAGGAAGGACATTTTCATGGAACATTGCCATTTATAGAACAAGTCCAGTTTGATTTAACAAATCTAATTTGATGGAAGAAGGAAAAGCAATGTTTTCTCTATTACTGTTGTAATGTGAAAGCCTCGTTAAATGTATGTTTGATGTTTCACTTCAGTTGGGGGACTGCCTACAAAACAATTGTGATGATGAAGCTCACTCTAAACCCATTAGTTGGTGTAAAAAAACATTATAATTGAGCCAATGACAAGGTTGTTTTCTTACTTTTTTCTCGTATGTAGAAGTATGCCAGGGATGTGCTTTGTTCTGTATTATTCTAAAAGCATTCCAGCTGTCATTAAATCATGAAAAAACATGACATTTTTAAAATAATTATCATGTTCTATAATGCCTTAAAAGTGGAGTTTGTGATTCTAATCCAATACATATGTAGTTGTGATTTTAGCTGTAGTAGCAAGAGAGCTGTCAGTATGGCTGTCTAGAACTGGGTTTCTGGGTTGATGGCTCTGCGAAACCGGCTGGTCTCTGCATGTTAGCTATACAGCAGCCGTTTCTTCTCCTCTCCTGCCTCATTTATGTCCCTTGCCTTTCCTTTCCCTTTTCCATTGTCTGACTTTTAGTCCCCTGTTTCTATGTCTTTTTCCCTATTTTTCACTTAATCTTCTCATTTTCTGCCCCTAGCCAAGCCTAAGAACTCAGCCAAAGTTTTGACCGTCCAGGCTGGATCCAAGTCGGTGGTGGTGGCCCAGTGCGAGGCGGCAGACGGCAAACCGGCAGCCACCATCAAGTGGCTGGCATCGGTTGGAGGGAACCACACAACCACCACCCTGAACGGACCGGATGGCACGGTGACAGTACGCAGCGAGTATCGGCTGGTTCCCACGCCCGCAGATAATGGCAGGGAGGTGACCTGCATGGTTGACCAGAAGACACAGGAGCGGCCGTGGGCTTACCCTGTCAAACTCTCTGTGGAGTGTAAGAAAGACATACACACATCACATAAGAATGTCTTGAAAATAAATGATGTATAACCCCAGGGTATACTTTTGCTATCATGTGTCATGGGTCCAAATAAGGATACAAACCAGTGACTTGATCGAAAGATCCAGCTGCCAACAACTTTAGACACAGATCAGTGACTTGCCAAAGCCTTTAGGCCTTTATTTAGGCAGTTACCTGTAGACACTTCACCACCAATCTATAAACATTACACAGATTGCCAAACAAAACAATCAGTCCACATTTAAATCCAAGCTGTGAGACTGCAATGATGAGAATGATTTTAATGTTGTATGCAGCACTTTGTCCACAATGCTGCCTTCTAAAGCACTTCCAAGTTACCTCTCTAATGATCTAAATAAAACAACATCTGGTCTATGTGCTGTAACATCTGAAGACACATTTTTACTTGTGCATAGTTTAAACACTGTGGGTTTAACACAATAATACAATAAACCGTATTGTAGATTTGTTGTAAAAGTCAGTGTTTCTATAATGCAACACCTGTGTAAAGGCCTATGTACATAGGGTATAGCGGCCCTGCAAAGTATATTGGAGTGTCTAATACGTTTGAGAACATGATGTAAACATCATATGCAGAGAGACTGATCGTCGTTTGAATGTATATGATAATGGTGGACAAATTTCTACTCCCAGTGTTCACGTACTTAATAATTAAACAGTAATTAATTTATTATGGAGGCAGGTCATTATACAGTCAGCTGCTGGGACTTCCCTCTAGGTGAATTTTGTGAGGGAACAGGAGCTTAAAACGAAACTGTGCCTTGGCTGAAGTTATTTTAAACCTCTATTCAAGTAGCACATGTTTACCAGATGATACCTGGTTTGCTAATTTATTAACTGATACAGTAGCCTATAATTAAGATACATTTTATTAAATAAATTACTTTAGTTGATTGGCCGTTCAACGGCGGTACAGTGCACTGCATTAATTGTAGCCTCACATGAACGTTTTCATGTTTTTGATCTTTTAGGACTTTTGGCCCTCAGCAGTATAGAAAATCAAGAACACACGTTTACACACAAATGTGCACACACAACTTGCTTATATCGAATCCCTTAAATTCCATTATAATTTACATGGGATTAAAATATTAGACAGGTTCAGCATGGCTTTACAGAGATTTAGGGATGCGCTGAGCATTGTCTCAACTGTGTGACCTCGCTGTCGTTTACTGCAAAGATGGAACAGATTGTCTTTGTTCAGTCTCCTTTTATAATCTGCACATCACCAAACTGCCTGTCAAGCTGTTGCAAGAAATAACGAGGAATACATATTAATAAACCAACACAAGAAATTATTCCACATGAACCAAGACCCTTGGCTACACACCCACTCTCATACACAGGGTCATCCAGGCCCATCAAGCTGTCAAATTACCTTTTAAGAAACATATATGGTACGCCAGCTGTGTAGATGAGTATGTATGGTAAGCAGCTTTAGCATCTGTGCGAGTACAGTATTTGTGTGCGTGGGCGTATATGCAGTATGTATACAACTATAACCATAAGTATAGTCCAATGTGAACACAAATAAAGCTAAAGGATCTCACCTGTCAATTTGTCATGTCATGTCATGTATCTTGTGGGCTGTAAGACAAACTTATATAGCTTATATACAGTACTTTTGAGGACACTCATTCCTTAGTCTCCAACCCTTAGCTGAAACCTCATTCTAACTTTAACACTAAAAGCATCCCTTAATCAAGGGCAGGACCAGCAGAGATTCAAAATTGGTCCTCGCATAGATAGAAATACCAGCGCACACACATTTAAACACTGTCACTCCTCGCTGTGTATGTGTTAGTTTAGTGATGGTGTGAGGGATCATGTCTCCTGTCTGTTGTGTAACTCAGATCAGCTTTTATAGGTCAACGCTCTCTAGGAGGAACATACATCACACCTCACACTTGCCCTCCTGTCCTGCTGCTTCTTTCTCTCACTGTCTTGGCTTCTCCCCACACTCCTCTCTCTGTCTACCTCTCCCTCTTTTTTTCAATCTCTCTCTTTCTCTCTGTCTTTGTGATTTTTAACATGAAAATGTGAAGGGAAATAGAGCTAAGCTTTTCTGTTCTGCCTGTTTTAACTTCCTACACACATCATTGCTTTGGTGTGCCTTCACTTTAACATAAGACTCTTACGAGAGTGACACTAACTGATTTTCTCATCCTCCTGGTATAAGAGTGCCTTGATTTCAGGGGAAAAACTCTTTAAAGTAACATTTTTTCATCCACATTTTTGATATTTTTACTCTGGATACACCAGAGCTTACACACATCACTACAGACACAGGGCACACCAGCCCTTTTCCCGCATGCATTGAGGCTTTGTTTGTGATGCAACAGTTTGACACAGATTAATAAAACATCTCAAAATGTCAGATATTCATGCAGGCAGTCTCATCCTGTTTACTATCAATCCTCTAACCCAGTCTTACAGTACACTGCACACACAGCTCCTTCATGTCACGAAAAGACGCTTGTGAGTGTGATTCCAACGGTGACATTCTTTATATAACGTTATTACTAGTCTGCAACATTTGACAGACATTACGATCCACGCAGGTTGATCTTGCTGAAAAGAGAGATAATCTTGCACTGTGTGTCTGAAACCAGTAAATAGCTGGTGTCAGAGCTAGTTGAGCTTGCTTGCTAGAGGGCACTATAGTGTTGCAAAGTGGGAAGAGGTCAAGGGCACCTACCGATCCTTAAACAGGTTAAAAGGTTTTTAAACCTTAAGGTCTTATTTTTAATTAGGAGTGGTCTTACATTTTGAGATGATGACTAGACTCATAATAAATCAAAAAAAGTATACATTAAGGCTCAGGGTACTCTGAGCAAACCAGATAATGTCAAACATCTTTTTGAATCTCAATTTCAGACCCCCCCTCTGTATCCATAGAGGGCTACGACAACAACTGGTACGTTGGCCGTTCAGACGCTGTGCTATTTTGCCTGGCCAACGCCAACCCTGCGCCCACCACCGTCACCTGGACCGCGTAAGAATCACACATTCCTTCTTTGCAGTGACAGAGTTTCTAATTGTTGCTATAATCACAACAGAAGCATGTATAACAACCCTTCGTTTTTAATGATAATTTCTTTGATCAACACAAATGCTCTTAACATCTCATTCTGATGGACAGATGGCGTGCAGTGATGTGTGTGTGTGTATGCGTGTGTGTGATTTTCTTGATGAATATTGAGCAGGGAGACAGAACGGCTGTTCACATGTCTGATTTTGCTCACATTAATGCCATCTTTGAAAATCACAGTCACAAAGCCTCTCTTTTTTTTCTTGTTTTCATCTTTCTATCTCTCTTTTCCCATCTTTCTCTGTTATGTCTTTACTAACTTTCCTCTCTCCCTCTCCCATCGATTAATCTTTTTGATTTTCTTTTGCTTCATCATCTTTTACATTAATCTCTCCCTCTCTCCTATCTTTTATCCCTCTTGTCATTTTCTCTCTCCCTCCATCACCTCCCGCTTTACTCATCTTTTCCTTTTTCATCTCAACCAAATCTCCTCTTCACCACCTAACTCCCCCGCTCCATTCCTCTTTCCTTCCTTTCTTTCTCTTCTGCTTCCTTCTCTCCAGGGCATCCGGTGCTTTGCCAGACAATGTGATGGTGGATGGCAACAAGCTGACGGTGAGGAAGGTGGACGACGCCGTCAACACCACTTTCATCTGCGAGGTCAAGAATAAGCACGGGGCCAGCAGGCACCAGATCACCACTATCGTCATCGGTGAGTCCATCAAACCACAGACAGCACACACACATACTTGCTTTGTATGCACAGGAAGTGTGGACAACAGAATACAGACGCGTGCATATTTACAAATATGTTGAACACACACAGGTGACACAGCCGAATGTTTCGTCTAACACAACAGGACAATTTTCTCAAACAGCATGCGCTTTTCTAACACACACACACACACACACACACTGTGAGTCACACGGTTAGCTGATGCTACTCCCCGCATTATCCCGTGCACAGATGTACGTGCACATTTACATTCTGCTCTGTATGCCTTGACACATGCACACTCCCACTCTCAAATGGACAATTGCATGCACATACAGGTCACATCCTTCCTCAGTCATGCAGATACACTTGCACACATGCATGCACATAAACATAAATCACACACACATGCTGGGATCAGGGCTGATCTGAGATCTGCAGGGATGCTGGTCACTCTCAGTCTTCCCATTGGATATTTGTCATGTTTTGCTCCTTGCTGGCCAGCTTTCAGCAAGACTTTTGATTGACCTTTTCCCCATAGCAGAGCCAAATTGCAGGACAAGGGCCAACTCGAAATGTTTATAACTTCAGATCGAAACCACTCTCTTGAAACTGGAGTCTATATGGCCACGCTACAGCTGGGAAACTGTAGCTCTGCTGGACACAAATTGAATGTGAATTGTGGTTTATTAGTGTGAGAGTGGGCCCTTGTTACAGCATATTGGCCCTGTGGTGGACATGACTGTGTTGGGATTGTTGGGCGGTTTTTAAATTCTTCCAAGGGGTTCAAGTTGGTGTGAGCCAGTCTGCCCAGGTTTGTTTTCTTTCTTGTTTTTTTTTTTTGTTCCTTCTTTGCATTTTTATTTTACATAACTAACACCTCTTAAGCATGAGTGCTCTATGTGCTCTATCTTTCTTCTTTTATGTTTTCTTTCCTCTTTTACCTATTAATCTCCCCTTCTGTCTGATAAGAGAATGACGGGTTCTCTGCATGCACACTTTCTTTCTGCTCGGTCTTTTGACGTTTGCTAGTCTGGTGATTCAGCTGCTGTTGCCAAGGTGTTCAGTCGGGGTTTTTCCTCTTCCTCTTCCCTCTGATGCACACATTGATTGGACACACACATACACCTGTACTCACAGGCACGTGCACACACACCCAGGAACTGAAATGCCACACCGCCGTTCAGCAAGCAGACCTTGAAACCTGTTAATATCTTCTTCTGTTTTTTTACCTTGTGTGTGTTCCCACAGTGTTGCACTCCACACTGCCTGCTTGACTTGTCAAAATGCTTTCCTTCCATCATCTTCAATTCTTTTTTGAGGAATTACTTTAAATAATCGCCATGTTGAGCTTACAACAAAACAAAACAAAAAACAACTTCTGTTCTTTTGCCAAAATACAGAGAGAAAGCTACATTTAGAAAATCCGTGGGAAATCTGAGTTGGAGATTTGAATTGTCTCCTCTGAGAACAAAGATGCTTTGTAGCCAGGCAGTGCGTTGGGAGGGATGTGTGGGAGGTTCAGAAGTGGCTAAGCTGCTACTGTTCTTGCTAGCATTGTGACGGACTAAAAGTATCAAGGAGGGTACTCTTACCCCTTCTAGCACACACACGTAAGCTTAACAAATGGAAATCCTTTACAGACATGTAAAACCTCTGGAGTTCATGCTTGGAAGACTTGCGCACACACACACACACACACACACACACACAAATGTCTTTTTCTTATCTTTCATGAAAGTACCTGAGATCGAGCCCAGACTGTGTGATTCATCCTCTGCTATGTTAAATGCGTCCTTGGTGTTTCACGGTTTGCCTGTGTTCCACAGGAAAATAACTAGAAGGGTATAAAGTCACATATTGACTTCTGTCAGTTTAACACGTTTACTTATAGAAAGTGAGTGCCAGAACTTGAACACTGAAGCTGGTGAGGTGTGGGCTGACAGAGCCACGTTTGTCATTGTAGAAATCCTCGCTTTGTGTGTCTGCTAAATGCAAATGGTAATATTTCAGCATTATTATGTTTGACGAATCCTACTTTTTGCTGACCAGATACTCCATTAAAAAATGTGCATGTCTTCTTGAAGTTGGTGTCAAGGTTAGAAAACTAACTCTATTCTTTTAGGTGGTTTACAGTGAACAATAGTTTTTGAATTACACCAGCTCATCAAAACACAATGAACATATAAACATTTAATCTGAGGAAAATTTTAAGTTATTTTATGTTGCAAGAGCAACAGAGTCAACATTAAGCCAACATTCATCTTGACATAAAATGCAGCACAGGTGAGTGAAAAGCCTTAATCACTACACCATAGGGTCAGGTATTTAGCCCTCCAAGGGACAAATGCTACAAATAACCCTGGACTATAAATGCTATACTAGGAGAAATTATAAAAAGGATCAAATGCTGGAAGCTAGCCTCGTCAAGACCATGTTAATACCTTCAAGCATCGCAAATGTGTATTATCGAAACTCTAATTGTGTGACAGCAGATTAATCATGACCTATAATGAAAGCTTACCTCAAAGCCCACCAGCTCACTCCCTGGAACGGCCATAAGAACCACCACCCAAAAGATTATAAAAAATATAATAAGAATATTTTTCTTCTGCATGGGCCCAAATCTGGAGGCAGCCTACCAAGAAAACTCCCAACACTCCAGATTGCCGGTCTGCCACTGGTAGTGAATCAAAAAATGATCAGCATCATTTGACTCACCTTCCTAAAAGCGATTATATACATGCCTAAACCACTCATTTAGCAACATGTGAGTTACTAATTAAAGCACACACCAGCAGTTAAACCACTGAACCCACTGAAACAAATAAATCATATAACCTCTGACCAGAATATGATACTGCCCATCTGTCTAAGAAGTTCTTTAAGTCTGTTACAGAAAATTTATGTTTTTATAATTTGAAATAACACTATTCAGCAAATGAGCTACTGAACTAAACACCAGTGACCGAATTGCTGAACCCACATGACATTTTGTGCTTGTGTCATGAAATTGTTTATTAGTTTGTTACATGTGGCATTTTTCCTTATGGCTGGGTTACCCATGCTGAGCCATGCAATGAGATCAGCGTTCTGATCAGCGTGCACACACATCAAATAGTTTTCCATAGGACAGCATGGCACAGTAAAAGTGATGAAAGCTGATTTGCACAAACAACAAGAAGTGTGTGTTACTTCTTTTCATCTAACCAACTCATTGTGACTATTCGTTCCTGCAATATTTAAAACTCATCTGCTGACTAAATAGCACTACAAATGTAATATCATGTAATTTGTGCAACAGTTAATAATATCACAGCTAACAAAGCACCGCTATCCTTGGTGCATTGCATTTCTTGTTCTGGTTCAGGATAAAACCTCCCAGTGGTTCAGCAATGGAAAACTCCTAGTACTGAGAAAGTTCTTAGAGCAGAACACAGCATTTTAAAATGGTCCATTCTCTGTAGTCACATGCAGTACCGTGCATGTATTGAGCCAATTAGTTCAGAACAAGACACAGCTTTGGTTGGGGAAGCCTCCCATCCTTCTACCAGGCAGTTAAGACAATATCAGAAGTCACAGGTATCTTCTGTTGGTTGCAGTCAAAATGCAAAATATCAGGGCTCGGTATGGAAAGGTGCATCTAAACTTCGCTATTCTGAGAATTTGTGACTGTAGTTGATTACATCTTTTTTTATTTTGGAGTGCAGCTATCATGGAACTCATAAGCATCATCATCAAATAAAGTTGTTTTCTAAAAGTTTCACTGGCACAGCAAATTTACACAGTAAAACCAAAAGATACCAAGTCCTAGGATCAGATTGATCCTGCATTTGTTCAGTATCTGCATTTCCTGAAGAAAAACATTAAGAGTAAACCACTTGCCTCTAACTGTAGTGATAGAAACCAGTTCCAGTCTCTCAGCATGAGATCTAAACTGTCAGGCGCGGAAGGCCCTGGCTCTCAATAATGTAACAGTTAATACCCCAGCACTTTGTGTACACAGCCCCAACACACCCCGCTAATTTCCCTGCTGAGAACTGTTAACGGCTCCTCTCTGTTCTGTTAAATGGTAGATGAAAGCACCGTGCTGTGTGGCTTTTCTGCTGCCGTCAAGCAGTCGTCACGTGTCATGTTTTCCCCTCAGCCTCCACCAGGGCCACGACTTGAGAGACGGGATGTGGGGTTGCATGACGGAAAAAAAACAGATTGGGGAAGAGAGGTGAGGCAGGAGGAAGAAGAGACTGACGGGGAGAGGAAGAAGGATAATGAGGAAAGAAGTGTGAGATGGATGACGCTTGGAGGCATTTTGAAAAACCTAATAAACATTCACACACAGTCCATTTCTCTCATATTCTGAGCTCTCAGGAGTGAACGCTACTGTAATACAGCTAGAGAAGTGTTTTGCTGACGGGAGTGAAATGTGTACAGCAGCCACTTTACCACTACACGTACACACACACACACACACACACACACACACACACACACACACACACACAACCCCACCCTGAACTCCCATCCGTTCACATGCACATGATGCCAGCTATGCATGGCTTGCTTGGTTGCCTCGGAGCCAGCTGGATCTGCCCAGCACACCGTGCACAGACAGAGAGGGAGAGGATGTTGGCAGAAATAAAACTATTGGAGTGGATGATGGGAGGGGATATAAGTTGGGGTGGGCAACAGAAAAAAGACGAAGAGATTGCAGAAGGGCTGAAAACTGAGATAAAGGCAAGTGTTGGAGGTAGAGAGAAGGTGAAAAAATTTGAAAGTGATGGAGAGGCACAAACAGAGGTAACAGCAGGAGGAGAGTGGCAGGAAAGTCCTTTAAAAACTCCCATGACTTCTCATCCAGTTTGAAGCGTGAACTGGCAGGAGGCTGTGACCCCCTCTGTCCTCTACCCCTCCGCCCATCACTCCATCCTTCCCCCCCATACATCCAGTCCTTTCATGGGGAGTCCAGCTGGCTCTGGGCTGGGGGCTGTTGTTGCCGT